AGCAACAAATGAACAAATTACCTCTTTATTTCCAGCTTCGGCAATGGAGGTTTCTGATAAAAGCTTGGCATTGGTGTTGTTGAATGCCAAACTCTTTCTTTAACATTTTAATATCAAATTCCCGAGATTCCTACTCACTAGGAAAAAAAAAAGAAAAAAAAAAAAAGGAAAGATGGAGAAACTTGATCTCACAATCCACCAATGAAAGTTTGAATTCATAATATGACACAAAATCTCACCTTAGTTTTGGCTTGCAAATTACTTTTCTCTACTTCCTTAGCGTGGATCTTTTCCTCAAATTTTGAATAGAATTGCTCAAACAAATATATATATATGTCTAAGGTGTAGGTCATGCAAGAAATATCGAATTGTAGGTACCACTGACTCAGAGAAAGGATAACTTCTCTTCTTTTCTCAATTCTTTCATCGCATTCAAAACTAAAATTATAGTTCGGAAGAGCACCCTATTTTTGGGGTTGGCATCACTTTTATTCTTTTTTTCGTTTCTGAACCTTCAATTGCACCTTTTTCGAACTAAATAACTTTATTTATTTATTTGTGCACAATGTGTATAAATGAAAAAAAAAATTCATAGAGATGCAAGGGTCAATTCAAAAATTAACAGAGGAGGAGCAACATATACTGTGTGGAAAAGCCCTAAAAAGAAAGTTCAAAAAGCCTTGAAAAATGCAATCTTCGGATCTTCTACAAGTTTTTCTACTTATTGGCATCTTCCACTGCATATGAAAAGAAGTACTAAATTCCTAAAAATGAAAAGGGCGTCAGATTATCTATTCTAGGAATCAAGAAATGAAAATTCATTCATGAGTTCAATCAAATGGCTTCCTATATGGCTTATTTTTGCCCTAAAAGTTGTGACTAAAATGTTAAAAATTGATATAATCTAAGGTATTTCTCTTTTCCAGAATTGTGTCAAATGTACAAAAATTGAAACATTTATATACACTGGACCAATATTACATCTGAGTTAACTATTCTTATGACACCAGTTATATATAACACTATGTGATGTGATATTCTTGTCATTTTGGTTCTTTTCACCCAAAAGTTGTGATGAATATGTGGTGAATTATCTTTACGACTTCCTTTCTCCCGAAATGTCAGATACAAAGATTTGCTTTAAATCTAGGAATGGAGGAGAACATCAAAGATTTTCTCACCCTTTGTTTTGGTCACAAATCATGTGGATTTTATGTATGCATCCCAGACACTGTAGAGAAAACAAAAAATTCATTATTAATTACAAATTATAAACAAAACCAGCAGAAATATGAGTGATTAGATGCAAATATGAAGAATTCAGCATCATGAAACCTCAACATGTAACTACACGAATCAATGGAAAATGATTGGATTACTTTGCTGTTGATAAACATTTAAGCACACAAGTATCAACAGACCTTAAATAAATTGGACAATTATTTCTACAACAGAAAATAAGTTAAAGATAGGTAACCTACATTAGCTCCCCACTTTCCTAGCTAGTTCTCAACAAATTTCAAGGGAACCCTTTAGAAAAAAATAACAAACTTTTTCAAGGATTTCTATCCATTGGTCAAGAACTAAAATTCATCCAACCGTACAAACACATATAATTAAAGCCACATATTTCACAAAAAATATCATAACAAAAGAAAATGGACCAAAAAACAAATTGGATACTTGACGGCACCAAATTTAGAAAAAGAAAAGTTTAGATTTTTTCTATGATTTAAAAAACAATTTTCTTATTGATGATTATAAAAATTCTAAAATGGCTGCAAGCTTAAAATGCACACTAACACGAACAGTCAGACAACACATCCTTTTTGTGTGAAGAAATTGAGAAGTAGAGAGGCGTGGTTGTAACGTGTGAAAATGAAAAAAGAGTAAAGAGGCATGGTTGATTGCGTGTGAAAATGAAAGAAAAGGTAGTGTAAGAGATAGAGATTATAAAAACTAATAATGGACAAGATGATACAAAATTGCAACAAGTGTCCACTCAAAAATTGCCTCTTCCATACTGTAAGTAATAGTAATATAGTAATATAAAAAGATCGAAGACGAAATTACGTCATTTTTTCCCACGATTGAGGAGGGAAAAATAACAAATTTGCTGTAGAGAAAATTGACGTCATTTGCACTTCATACAATAGAAAGGGAATGGGATTGGAATACTATTGCATCTACAATACCCAATTCATTGGCTTTTTATATAAGGTTAGATAAAAAAAAAAAAAAAATTGAATGATTTAACAAATGAAACAACAACAAAATTAGAGGCAAAAATAAAAAGAAACAAAAAAAATTATTATAATGTTTTTAAATTAAATCGAAATAATTAAAATTAAAAATAAATATTATTTAATTAAAATTGAAAAAATTACATTTTAAACAAAAAGAATTAAAAAGAATTTTAAATAAAAAAAGTATTTATAATATGAAGAAAAAAGAAATTTTAAAACAATTTTAAAAAAATATATATCTATAATAAAAACAAAATAAAAAAAGTTACGAAAATTAAATAAATAATATATAAATATTATTTAGTTAAAACTAAATACTTAAGTTTTATTACGAAGAGAAAAGAATTAAAAATAATTTTAAATTGAAAAAATTTATTTATAATGTAAAAAAAATAAAAATGTCTCCATGCATGGAGGCAACATGGAAACCAAGTCTCCATGCACAGACACAGATATGGAGACGTGCATGGAGACCTGCACATGGCTTAGTCTCCGTGCGGTCTCCGCGCACAGAGACTCTTAAACTCCATGCAAGGAGACTTAAGTCTCCGTGCATAGAGAGATTTAATTTATTTATTTTTTCCTTTTTGTTTTTGTTTTTGTTTACACTATAAATAAATTTTTTTTCAATTTAAAATTCTTTTTAATTCCTTTTTCTTCAATTTTTTTACTCATAAGTAACATTTTACTTCTTAGAAATATTTTCTGTCTTATATTATTAGTATTTTTATTTTTTAATAATTTCAAACGATATTTAATTTTATAGTAATTTTTTTATTAATATTTAATTTTTTTAAATTAAATATATCTAAATATTACTTTAAATTTTTGGTGGGAGATATGGAAAGTTGCGTGTTGAAGTAAATTTAGATTGCCTTTTTTCACTGTAAAATAAAATATAAATCAAGTAAGGCAAACGACGTCGTTTTTGCTCCCCAACTTAAAAAAACATAAAAAATAAAATAAAATAAAATAAATGCTACAATGAGACAAAATGAAACAAGTCTCTGTTGATTTCTACAGCAACTTCACATTCTCTTTTTTATATAGTAGGGATGTGGAGAAAGAATACGAAAACTATATATTTACAATATTTCTAACTTCTATTAAATCGTAATAAAGAGACAACTATATATAGAGAACAAATAGAGAACGTCCAAATTCTAATAATAGAGTTGTAATTGAAGTAGAATGCAAAAACTAGAGTCCAAAACGGAGTAAAGGAGGAAAAGTTGCTCATGAGTCGAAACAAACGGGAACTACTCGTGTAGCTGCGTCACAAGGCGAAAATCGCCTTGGCGCCACAACGCCCACTACTGGGTCATTTATTCCAAAATCCAGATTTTCTTCATCCCAATGTCCTCTTAAAGTCCAATACAAATTTCAACTCTTAATTTGGCTTCCAAGCAGAACTTCAACTAAAATTTACAAAGTAAACTTGAATAGAATTCAACATTAATATTTCAAATAAAATTCTTCTTAATGTTCACTTTAATTAGAAATCTCAATTATTTTCAACAAAGAATTCAAGTAACACCCGAATCATAACAAATAACTTTCTTGGTAATCAACGTAGACTGAACATAATTAACACCAAATTTAGTGTCAATTACATAAACATGACAACTACATATAAGTGTTTTAATCGATTACATACGTATCTCTTCCCTTTCCTTTCCAGTTCTCTTCCCTAGCTCCTTTTCCATTTTCTTCTAAAGCATTTCACAAATAACTTCAATTATTTCAGGGAATGTAAATTATAGCAATCACTAATGCATTAATTTCATCACAAATGAATCCAACAGAACGTTTTTGGATTGTTTACGTTTTGATCCACGATTTGAGCCTAAACTCTTAAAAGAAGAAGCAATTCTTTGGCCTTCTCTTTACCCCTCCATGTCCCATCAAAACTTAACTGGAAAAGCCCTGGCATCACACCTTTCCTCATAATAATCCTTCTGTATCTCTCTGTAGTTCTGGCATATGACAACAAGAATTCCTACTCTCATATTCTTTACATTTTGTTAATCCTTCCCCTATAGCCTCAACTAGTACTGGGATTCAGGCCCCAGTTTCCGTAGCCTCCTTTAGAGCAACATCTCATGAATTAGCAAACCCATCTACAGAGCAGTAGTGTGTATAACTTTGGCCTCACTTTAGCATACAAATCATATCTTAGACAAATCCATACCACCAACAATCAAATTCACAATGAAATATAGACACAGCGAAAAACAATACCGTCTAAGTCACACATTAGAGCATTCAAATCAAAACCAACTTCATTTGGTGCAATTGAGATCACTGCCGGTGAAGTAGGTTGAAATTTTGGGGCAAAATCGATGGGTTCACCTTAGGGTTTGTGGCTCGATTTGGGGGGTTTTTGATTTCACTGCATGTGAACAATTTCATCTCCAGTTGAAGCTGTGAGGAAGAAGTCGAGTTTCAATTTCTTTAGTTTGAAAAGGCATGTTTGAAATATTAATTGATGACATGGCTGTTAGTTGGCACTTGTCATTTGGAGTGATATCATCAGCCAAGTCACATTCTCGCCGTCCACATAAGCATATCTATTAACGGGGTTCATCCGGTGAGCAATGGAATAGTGCATATCAAAGTTCCATAGCTAATGGGACACTTCATAAAGTTCGGTGAGTAAATTATGAAGTGGAGCAAAATTCAGTGGCCGTTGAAAAATTTAACTCACCGAGGCTAAAAATTCTACCAATATCATAATGTCCATAGCCATGAAACTGAAACCAACAAGAAAATTCATTCTCAAATATAACCAAAAGTCACACCAAGTTAAAACTTTAATGTTTATAACAGATAAAACTGTGTTCCAAGATAAATCTCTAATGCAAAATTAAGGAAGATAAAAATACAGGAACAAGAGGAACCAAATAAGTTAAATTCATCTAAAAGACGAGCTCATGAGGTTTCATTCCAGCCTTTAGAGAGAATCTTGCTCCCAAATATAACTTCAATTCTGGAACACACTCAATAGCTTTTAACAATTCTGCATCAACAACTTTTTGGTCATCTTTCTTCTCGGCTGGAAGCACATTTTTCTCCTACATTACATTACAGAGGATGATTCGTATCAGCACAACCAAAAAGAATAACAGGATAATTATTTTGAGGAGAAAAGAGAAGGAAAACCTCTTTTTCTGCCTCAAAGAATTCAGTCTCGCCCTTCTTCTTCTTCTTCTCAGCTTGCTTAGCAAAGTACTTGTCATCGAACTTCTCCACATTCACCCCAGAGATGTCAACCTTTGTGGAAGTAGCAACAACGTAGGCTTGGTTGACACGTCTTAGAGGAACACCATTGATCTTGAATGGTCCTACAGCAGCAATTAGATAAAAATTAGGAAATAGCTTCGCAGGGTCATTTGATGTGTCCTGGTATCATACTTGAAAGAAAGTACAATATTAAGAGCATGAAATGAAAACAAATACTATGCAGCCAGTTAAACAAAACACACGAAAAAACTATTAAGAGATTCTGCATGCAAAGCATAACAGCGAAAATGTGAAATATGCTCTCATTATCAGACCAAGCCCATTGAGAACCGAGTTCAATTTAAATTTCTAAATGACTACAATTCATCACTGATTAGATACCTTATTTTATCACATCATATCAGATACCATCATGGGTTTTTTTATTTTTTTTTCAAAAAAAACAAAATAAACAAATCTGAAAAGTACCTAAGTTTTGTGGGTTTGTGCTTGCGCTTGTTGGAAAGCGGCTTCTTGACATCATCAGCTGGGTAGAATTTGGGTGCCTTCACCGCAACTGGCTCTGCGGCTACAGATTTCTTCTCGTGGATTGGGAATTTGCCTCCATTTTTGGCCTTGATAGCCCAGAGTCCCCTCTTGTGGTACATCTGGGAACGCGAGTATTTTCCGACCCCACGGATCAATTCCGGGTTACGGGTCACTCTCTGAGTTTTCGGCGCCATTTGTGATGAACTGTGTGCTCGGTGCGTGCGTCTGTGTGGCGAGAAAGAGGGTAACAAGAAACAACAAAAACAAAAGAGTGTTGTTATATACGTGAGTGTTGCAAAACCCTAGTTTAACTATGGGCTTGGGCCCTTATTTATCCGGGCAATGAAATGAGAGAAAACGGGTTATTGGGCTTGGACCGGGTAAAATGAGACGGGAAAATTCATAACTCAAGTATGTTGTTTATATCAATTCAATTTTCAAGTCCTAAACTTAACAGTGCAAAAATCAAGTATTTATTTATTAATTAAAAATATTTTATTAATTAAATGTAATACAGTCACAATTATAGAACTAATAGCCACTAATACAAAATTTTATGTTACAATTTATTTATTAATCACATATCATTAAATTAATTAGTCACAAATTATTTGAAGGTTACAAATAAAATTTTTTATAGATCACTGATTATTTCGATGGTCACAAATCTAAAAATTTATACCTCACAATTTATTTCGATAGTCACAACTCTATAAATTTATAGGTCACATATTTTCAAATTTGTTGATTACAATTAAATATTTGGTCACATAAGTCAAATAGTTGTCACAGACCACCGCGACTAACGCTATCGCATCGCCACTGCCATCACGACCACTTGTGACCACCCTCACCTCATTACCGTCGCCAAGTTCACATGGTCACAAATAACTAAATATTTGGTCACACTCGTCAAATAATGGTCACAGATCACCACCACTATCGCGCCGTAAATGATGTCACAGGCACTTGCAACCACCCTCAACCCGTTATCGATGCCAACGCCAACTCCAACAAGAACAAAATTCAAGGCAATCACCACCTCCGTCACTAGAAACCACCACGACCGCCACCAACAAATACCCAATTTGATGGAAAACCAACACAACCGCCCCCACCAAAAACCACAACAACATATAACCAACGCCTCCACCACCAACAAGACCACCACCATAAACCACACAATATCACCGCACCACCATCCAAACACTATCACCGTCAACACCATCCGGATCTGAACACAGCACGTCACACCGCTACAGCTACCACCAAAAGATCAATATTCACACCATTCAGACACCGACAGATCAATATTCACACGACACCACCACCACATCCATTACCACTCCAAAAACCAACAAACACCTGACACCGCACCAATAAACTTCCACATTGAACCATCTTGTACGTCTCGTGATGCTGTCACACTATCGTCGACCAACGTCGCCACACAGCATAGCCACGACAACGTCGCAGCTTCGATGCTGACATTGACTCGCAGGGGCGCTCAGATCAACGCTCAACAGCCACATCATTGACGCTTGTCACGACACCAACATTCGTCACGACGAGTTGAGTGGCGGTCAAATTTAGCAGTGGCCAATGCTGGTAGAGAGAATGGAGAGATAGTAGAGAGAGAATGGAGAGAAGAAAGGGGAGAAGTGAATTAGGGTTTGGAATTGAATTAATTAATTAATAAAACAATAAATTAATACCTGATTTTTTATTAAATAAACTTCATACCTGTATTCTAAATTTGAAAGTTTAATTACTTGGTTTTATGTATTCCTCATGAGGGGAAAAATGGCGTATAATTTTGTAACCATGATAATCAATTGGTAAGAAATAAGTAAGTAATTACTACGATCTTGTTTTTCTTAATGAATAGGAACCAGGGATGTAAGGGCTCTCAACATCTAAGTTTAGCACATCTCAACGGTAGAGACATGTTAGATTAAAATTGGGCTATAAATTTACGTACTAAATATAGACGATTTGACACATTTTGACACATCTAAATATCTCTCTCTTTACAGTTCAAATTGAAAAATTGAAAGTAAAGTGCATTTGTACTTCAATGATGCTATATTATATCTATTGAGTATTTGAGGGAGACCAAATAGTGAGAATTTCATAAGAAATTTTTTTGAAAAGAAGTTTAGTCTAACGTAATTTCATAATTGACAATAATTCATAAAATTTAAATTTTTAGCCCTTTCCTGACTTTATTGTTCCAAATTTTGTTTGTTGACGGTCTATCTTATTGATAAACGCATTCTCATCATTTATACCATCACTAATGAGGACCAAATTTGGTGTAAAACATCAAATTTAACGTAAATGCTCTTCAATGAGGAACCAAATACTTTAAAGTTTGGTGTAATGAGTAATTTTGTGTAATACTATTCATTTACATTTTCAATAATCCACATTTTGTTCTCCCTTCCTCTTTGCAACAAATGTTTATTCCCTTTTTATGTTTTAGAATAATAGAATTTGATGGATTCATAATTATTTTTAATGCAATGATTATTTTCATATGACATTTATTTTTAAATTCTAATCAATTAGCCTCCGTTTGGCTCACATTCTCATTCTCATTCTTTTTCTTTTTTTCTCTTTTATTTTCAACTATATAATCTTCCATAAAATAATATTACACGTAAATAAAAAACTTTTCATTCTTTTTTTACCATACATTTTTCAGAAAATACTATTCCAATAATTAAAATTTCAAAAGAATGGGAGCCAAATGAAGGCTGAATAAGTAATAGCTCCTTCTAAGGTTCCATTAAAGTCAAGGGTGGACCCAACCGTTTTGGGTTGTGGGGTCAAAAGTTTAATACATCGTATCTTTTGTTATGGTCGATTATTTCGTACACCATTAAGAAGCGAAAAACTAGGCCATAAATTCTTAGAAATGATACTAAGAATGCAATATTTCATTTTTCATTTAGTATGTATTAAAGTAGATCGAAAACGAGTTAAAACAACCATTTTTTGAATAAGAAAAATCCAAAATTTTGTGGGGTCATCTGACCCCATGTGGGTCCGCCCCTGATTAATGTTATAATTCATTTTTTTCTTTTTTTTTTATCAATCACACATTCTCCAATAAAAATAATATTAAACATAAATCTAAATTTTTTTTTCTTTTTTAACCTCACATTTCCCAAAAAGAAAAAATATATATTATTCTAAAATACATTTTCTCCAAAATTCAATTATAATGATGCTCAAGAGGAGGCAAAATTATTGATAATAAATTTCATTAAAAATTATTTTTTAATTTATTAATAAATACAATATTTTAGTTCATTAAATGTAATTTTGAATTTAGGGGACGTTTGTGTCACATTTTTGTAAATATAAGAATGAAAAATATAGTCGTTACGGACCTTACCCAAAATATAGAAATCCAAATTTCGTGGTTTGATGTGATGGATAACGATCATATTTTTCATTTTAATGAAGAAAGAATAAAAAACAAACAAGGGCTTAACGATTTTAGTAATAATATAATTTTTAATTAGATAATTTAAAATAATATATATATATATATTTTTTTTTTTGTAAATCTCAGTGTAAAACTCTCCAATGGTCTATATCAAATAAACTTTGCTACTTGTACATAAAAATATATAGATAATCGATGACATAATATGATGTGAAGGAAAAAATTGATTGTGTTTTAGACTAACAAATAACAGAGAGATATATAACATTATGTAATCTATTATATAAATATTGATGTACATACAGTAAAATCCATATCAAATTTAGTATAACAATTGAACAGGTTACACCAAACTTGATGTAAAATTACACCAAGTTTGGCATCACTCATTGGAGATACCCTGAGGATTGAATTAGAACTCATTTGAGTGGGAATGCAAAAATAAATAAATAAAATTAAAAAAAAATGAAAAGTTTATCCAAAAAATATTTTGATAGATAATATGTAGTTAAAAAATAACAAATATTTTAAATTTGTGTGTAATATTATTTTATTGAAAAAAAGTATAACTAAAAATAAGAAAGAGAAATGTGTATTTTCAAAATAATGAAGAGAAAGGGCTGTATACTGCACATTTTCAGATTCAGGTCTTGAAAATGCTGTTTAATGCCTCATTATTAATTTTACCAAACAATTTAGGCATGAAACCTAGCAAATTCACTTCAAAATGAATAGCTGAATTGATTTAATAAGACTATTTGTGCAATTTTATCTTTCTATCAATATGCTTACGAGCAATGCTACTTGTAAACAATTATTTACGGATCGATGTACCCAAAAAAAAAAAAAAAAAAAAAAAGGAAAGAAAGAAAGAAAGAAAAATGAGAAAAAATGATTTTAAAGAGAGAGAAAGTAAAAAAGAAAAAAAAATCAATTAAATTTTAATATAATATCATGCCATCACTCTGTACATTAACATGTAAATAATAATATACAAATTGCATTATGCTATACTTAATTACTTAAATTATCAACCGTGGCCATCCTTTACTTTAACACTATCAAGCCAATTTTCACGTTCAGAAATTCATGTAAAAAAATGTGTACTTTTATTAAAAATAAGAGAAAATAACGAATTACAAATTCACTGGCGGCCATTGCACTACAAGAATTCTACAAACAGTAGATGTGAAGTCACCATGATCAGAACCCGTTTTACACATAGAAGTATATAGATACTCTAGCCGGTCCAGAAAAGCCGTGTGGTAACTAGCTCTCAAGGCCCATGACTCAAGCCTTTTTCAATTTTTATTTCTTTTAAGAAAATTATTTTAAAAAAAAAAAAAAAAAAAAAAAAATTTTGAGCATGGTGGCCCACATGAGGCATGCTTGCAGGCTAACCTCTACATATAGGCATGTTTGCTACTTTAGGAAAAAGTACAAAAACGCGAGACATTTGATCAGCTCGTCTGTAGTCTAATCCAGTACATCAAACACGACACCATAGAGTTACAAATACATCAGCTATTTAGTGAAGCAAACATGTAATTCAATCTGCAATAAAAAGCAATTATTACCTTTTACTTTCTGTTTAAATTTCATGTAGAGCCAGTAGCAGAACAATTCATCTCAGACCTACATAGCAGTCAACAATTAAACATCCAAAACAATCTTGGGAATACATTTGGAGGGGAAAAGTTGTTGATGAAAATGCGAACGAGGGCTTCTAGATATGGAAAATGTAATTCAGAGCGACAATGCAAATGTCGACTTCAATCCTGCTCATCCTGGAACAAATCAAGAGAAATACTTGAATACTATGCAGAGTGAAAAACGGCGACATATAAACAAAATAGCCTTATTATATATTCATGAAACTGCACAAGTAAAACAAAAGGAAAATCTGAGGGCTATATCCCAACTGTGCGACCATGTATTTAGCAACTATTGAATGTGAACTGAGAAAAAGAACGAACAAATAAGAGACCATAGTAGAAAATAAAGAATGTAATAGCCAAAAGTAGAATAATGAGTATTGAAAGATTGATGCCTTTGTTTCTGCAATCATGGATGAGAAACTAGAAGAAAATAAACTACAAAATTAATAATCAAAGTTATCATGTAAAGATGAAAGAGGGTGAAACGAAAAATTTAACCCTGAAAATTTTCATTGTATTATTTCTTTTAAGAAAATTATTTTAAAAAAAAAAAAAAAAAAAACATATATTGAGCATGGTGGCCCACATGAGGCATGCTTGCAGGCTAACCTCTACATATAGGCATGTTTGCTACTTTAGGAAAAAGTACAAAAACGCGAGACATTTGATCAGCTCGTCTGTAGTCTAATCCAGTACATCAAACACGACACCATAGAGTTACAAATACATCAGCTATTTAGTGAAGCAAACATGTAATTCAATCTGCAATAAAAAGCAATTATTACCTTTTACTTTCTGTTTAAATTTCATGTAGAGCCAGTAGCAGAACAATTCATCTCAGACCTACATAGCAGTCAACAATTAAACATCCAAAACAATCTTGGGAATACATTTGGAGGGGAAAAGTTGTTGATGAAAATGCGAACGAGGGCTTCTAGATATGGAAAATGTAATTCAGAGCGACAATGCAAATGTCGACTTCAATCCTGCTCATCCTGGAACAAATCAAGAGAAATACTTGAATACTATGCAGAGTGAAAAACGGCGACATATAAACAAAATAGCCTTATTATATATTCATGAAACTGCACAAGTAAAACAAAAGGAAAATCTGAGGGCTATATCCCAACTGTGCGACCATGTATTTAGCAACTATTGAATGTGAACTGAGAAAAAGAACGAACAAATAAGAGACCATAGTAGAAAATAAAGAATGTAATAGCCAAAAGTAGAATAATGAGTATTGAAAGATTGATGCCTTTGTTTCTGTAATCATGGATGAGAAACTAGAAGAAAATAAACTAAGAAATTAATAATCAAAGTTATCGTGTAAAGATGAAAGAAGGTTAAACGAAAAATTCGACCCTGAAAATCTTCATTGTATATTAACTATCACGCTCAGATGGGTTTAGTGAAAGTAGACAAATTAAAAGAACATAATGCTTTGCTTTCATTTTGCTCATACATACAGAAACTAACTGGAACAAGCAAATAACATTTTGAAATGATGTGTGAGACAGAAAAATAGATGATTGACAACACTGACCTATTCTTGAAAATGCTAGCTTTCTCACTATTCTCAGATGAAGATTAGATCTAAAAGCGCACACACGTAGATATCAATATGAAGTGTGTGAAGCAAATGAATAATGGCCTACATAGATGAATTAATGTGCAAATATATAATGAACTTGATCCAACTGAAAGCCAGAGCACAATTAATCTCTACATTTGAAATCACTGCTTATATACCCAGTATTAGCCATAATTCACATGAACATTCTTCAATTCTTAGTAAGAGGGGAAAGGGTTAAGGATTTACCCAGTATAAGATATCCAATTGTTCTAGGATCCCTAGATGCTATTGGAGTAAAAGATCGGCAACAAAGGCATTCTAATACATTGTAGATTCTTATCCAAGATTTGTATCATTTGATGATGCCATGTAAATTGCTAGAAACATGTGAAGTGTATGACTAACCTAATAACGAAAGTTTCGTAAGGCAACTAGAACAAGCTACCATGAGACAAAATCTTCTTTCTAAAGAGATTCGATTTGAAACTCTCATATGTCCAAAGTTCAATATGGAAATGATTTTAGAGGTGGTAATCAAAATGATAATGAATAGAAAAGTAATGGCTTGTTCCTCTATCTACGGTAGAAGAGAAGTTTCCATCGGAACAATTATTTATATCAATTCAGAGTTCCTCCTTTTTCATAAAAAAAAAAAAAAAAAAAAAAAAAAGGGGGGGGGGGGGGGGGAAAAAAAAAATATGGGAAAC